CTTTTCATTAATCCGAACCCCTCCATTAAAAAGGGTGCCACATTATTCATATCATGATGTTTAAATGATGGCTGTCAGACTTCAACCGTCCAGCCTTCCAAGTTTGACCCAGCCTTACCTCAACCCTCCAGCCTTCCAGCCTTCCAGCCTTAGCCCTCTTGCAGCCTCACCTCTCCGGCCTTCCAGCCTTACAGCCTGAAGCATGGAATCTTCAGTAAATCGCAAGATATCACAAGCCTAAACCAAAACTCCTTTCCGGATGCATAAAAAGCCAGGCGATAGTACAGACGACTTGTAGCCCAAAGTAGGCGCCGTACAGCATGGGGAATCCCATGAACCATGGGGCTGTTGTTTATGTGGAACACATCCCGGACACTCATGTAGTAGGTACATAGGTGTGCCGGTCTGGTGATGGCACTTGTTCAAGATTAAACATGGGCTCCTGGAGTGAGGGGTAACTAGCAATTTGTGCTAGACATCAGATGGAACATCCATATGGTTCCTTGCTTTGCAGAAGGTTGTTTGGCCAAGGAGCTGTAGCGGTCTTGGAAGCAACCAGGCCTAGTATTTCTCACTAGCACAGAGTTTTTGGCTATCTACTGGACATATCATGGGTTTAGAGCAGAGCAAGGAAGAGCAACTGCGCTACCCAGGTATGCAAGCTTTCAATACGACGAAGGCTGCTCCAATTCCCCTTCATAGTCTGCAAATCATCCAGCTTGCTGGCGGAGTTTGCCGGAAGGCCTTGCAGCATGATGGGTCGACTCTGATGGCGAGGTGGCTGCCAGAAGGTGGGGTTTGATGCCTCATTAGGCAAGTTTTTGGATTGAATGCTGCCGCATGCTGTTGGGCCTTAAATCCTGGATGTGGCGCTCGGATGGCCGAGCATTTCATGAAACCATGTTACTCACGCATTGCGCTAGGCGGAATCGCATGACCGCAGCCAAGATGCATTCGAGCTGTGGCTTTGATGGCTGCCAGGTACAGAATATCAATCAGCGCCACAGATGTGCAAAGTAACGCTTTCCGGTTCCAACATGTGGATGGGCGGGCGGCTGAGATGTAGCCACGTGATCACATGCAAAGGCCGGGGGGGCCGTCACAAAACCGTGGAGTTGTGGCAGACACACTAGTGGACATTGCCACACGCCGAGGCACGGCAACCATCATTCAGGAACCGGCTGTGAGATGCACTTACTTGCTTGAGAAGATCGATTGTCAGCTGCAGTTTGCAGATGCTTTGAGGGGAGGAGTGCGTGTGACCACAAAGGGACGTGCACAATCCATAGTCACATGTTCAAAGACAAGGCCCAGGGGAAAGGACTGCGTTGTCAACTTTTCACCTGCAGTCCTGAAGAATGTGTGATTGTTTGCTTTTGTTAGTGGCTTGCTATGGCTTCTTCGTGACATCCTGTGTCAGCCTTTCAGACTGCCTTCTTCACTTCTCCCCTATTTGGCTTCTTGGATCTGGGAACTACACATTTGTCAACTTTGCTGTGTATATACTATACACAATTCATTACACGGAAATTCACGCACATGTATCGGTAAAAGTCAAAAAGCATGTTGGCATCAAGAAGTCAATAGGTTTGATTAAAAAGCCAACATTCATATAGGCATGACCCTTCGTGATGGTTCAACAAGTTGATCACACTTTTATGTAAATCTGTATGTCAGTATGCAAGCTGCGTCTCAGGAATTGCCCTTCTCTACGGTTGTAAGCGGGTAAAAGCGGTGTATCTGCATGTGTCTACGTCAAGCGCACAAAAAGATTTCCAAACTTTCAGCAGAATAGTAGCACTTGTGCAGATTTGAAGGAGTGGAACAGATTTCTGCGGCATTAATCCTCAAGGGTTTTGTCTGTAGGTAGCTTCTTTCGATGGTCGCTTGGCGCTCCTTAATCCAGGGAGTGCTTGTGGAGACTTTACGATTCGGGTTTGCGATTTGGGGACAGGATTCGACTTCAGACTGGAAGAGCCGTGTGCGAGAATCCTAGTGGGATTGCCATCAGAAGTGGTCCTTTTGGGAGGCCGAGGCGCGCAATTGTACCTCAAAACTGAATTCATTGGCTGGCTGTG